CAGGAAAGATGGAATTCCTTTTGACAAGGATCCGGGAAAACAATTGTGTTCTTCCATGAAGAGACCAATCCTTTTTTTCACGGGATGCTAGTCTAAAAGGATGGTAGAGACTATTTAGTAGAGTGTAGGCCCCTTGTTTAGCAGACAGGAAGTCAAGGCCTACAAAGAGAAAATGATTCTTGTTCTTTTGGTTAGAGGCAAAGGTGGGTCAGCCTAGGAAATACTGGTCTGTGCCACACAGCATAATTCAGCTTTCATTCAAACGGGGAGCGGGTGCTGTTTCCTCAGCAGAAATTTCCTTATGACAGACTTGAAGAGGAACAGCGGGGGAGCAAAACAGGGTTTTCCCAGCGCTAGCTGGTTCCACCCAGTGTATGTAACACATTGACCCAGGCCTCCTGTCCATCCGCTTTCGATTTAAATGAATATCCTGAAAAGCCACACTTACCTCATAATAGAAAAGGAGGTCTGGGTGTCCTGGGTTCTTGCTTTTCTTTTCCAGCTTTGTTTTTCTCTCAGGCTTCCCTGGGTTTTCGGCTCCAGCCTGATGTGGCTTTTTGGAGTCTCCTAGACAGTCCCTGCCACTGCGCATGTGTGCTCCCTCTGCCTGTGTCTGTCTGTCCTTCCCCAAGTCTCTCCTTCTCTCTTCCCACCTGCCTAGAAAAATTTCCTTAGTTTCTCTTATAGTCAGCCTCAAACAAGAGTGATTTTACCTCTCCAGGGGACATTTAGCAATATCTGGGACTATTTATCAGTTGTCACAGTTAGTGCCTGGGTAAAGAGAAGCCAAGGGATGCTAACCATCCCACAATGCCCAAGACTTTATCTATAATAAAAAGTTACCTGGCTCCCAATGCGCATAATGCTGAGGTTAGAAACATCCAATATTTTGCTTTTCAACTGAAAGGTCACCCTTCCAGGAAGGCCTCCCCTGATGTGGTAAATTGGGTGGAGGCCCCGCCCATCATCCGCAGGTGTTTCCACTCTCTCCTTTCCCTCATAATCTAACCCCTGCTTCCTGGCAGTCTCCCAACCCCCAGGAATGGACCAGGGGTACCCCAAATTTGACCCTGTAATATGACACTGTCAGCCATAGCTAGCCAGGGACATGTACGGCCTGCTAGCCATAGGTTAAAAACACCTGGAGTAGAGAGTGCTTTGGCCCATCCCCCCACCCCACACAACCGCTGTCCATGTCCATGTTCACCTGTTGCCCTTGGACACAGTAGCCTGCAAGGTGTTCTTTCTTCCCAGGAGTGGCAAAGGTTTCTGAGAGCTTCAAATGCAGATCCTTCACGATTCTGGCACACTCTGGGGAGTCTGGCAGAACGGTCTGATATCCCATTTCTACCCCCTTGTAGTTGAGTGACCTTCAGCGAGTTGCTTAATTTCCCTGAACTCAATTTCATCTTTATGAAGGACTATAAAAATAGAACCTGCTCCATAGAGCGGCGGAGATTTAAAGGCATGCGCAGTATGGTGAGGTAGTGAGCCCAGCTCTGACAGCAAGCCAAGGAATGCATTACTGTAAAGAGGCGGAGGCGGCTCGGTGTGGAAGAGCATTTGCTGTACAAGTGTGAGGACCTGAGTTCAGATCTCAGAACCCGTATAAAGCCAGATGTGCTCGTTTGCATGTCTGTAACCATAGCACGTGTGAGAATGTGACAGAGACCAGATCTGGTCAGCAGCCCAGCTCCAGGTTCAGTGAGAAACCCTGTTAGTAAGGGAATAAGATGGATCGTGCTAGACCACACCCTACATCCTCTTCTGCCCTCTGCACACACACAAACAGGTGCTGATATCTACACACATGTGTGCCCATATACCACACTCTTACACACACCCTTACTGTGAAGAGGGTCCCCTTGCAAACTCCCAGCCTGCAGAAGAAGGATGAATGGTTGGCAGCAGCCTGTCACTGTATTCCTCAAAGCTGCCTACAGATGTCTTGTCTTACTATAGATGTATTGCATGTGCCTGGAGAATTCCCCAGCCCAAGCCGAGGAGTGCCTCTGTATCACCAGCAGGTAGGGCTCGGGTCATCTCCAGCCGCTCACCCTCTCCACCTGCATACTCTTTCAACCCCTAGCCTGGCACCCTGGCTCCTTATCTGGATTCTACCTCTCAAGTTCCACCTTCTGCTTCGGCCTTTCTCTGGAAGGCTGCCCACTTCTCTTCTCCCTGGGCGCAGCCTCCAGTGTGAGCAGGGCTTCCACGCCCTGTAACCAGCCTGGCCCTGCCTCCTATCAGGTCTGAACCTCGGTCCACAGCCAGGTGCCCCAGTTCCCATGGGGATTCCCTACGAAGGAATTAGAAACATTTTTATGAGCTGAGGGCCCAAATAGCCCACTGGATTTGCTTTTCCCTTGTAGGGGCTGGGAGAGAGTGAGGTTTTCCTATTTCCACCCTCCTACTTTCTTTCTCTGCTGCTTTAGACATAAAAAGGGAGGGAGGGAGGGAGGGAGGGAGGGAGGGAGGGAGGGGGGGAGG